TCTTGAGTTGGTGAGTTTCTGTCCAACTCCCAGGGAACAGGCATCCATATCAAAAGCCACCATCACTATCTGCATCTTTGTCTGGCACCAAGTCTAGCAGGGAGGTCAGAGATTGAATCAACAGGGAAACTTAACTCCTCTCAGATCCCTGGGAGGCAGCCCTACAAGTGGGAGGTAAGTCCTTGGGTGGGGTTGTAGTACAGTTTTCTTCCCATTGTGTCTAATGTGTAAACAGAGGAAGTCAATCAACACAGCTGTCAATCCAGCAACTTTCCAAGCTCTAAATTCGCTTTTGTCACCAACTTCTGTTTCTCACTTAAGAGTCTCTCCCTCCCCTTTCAGAAAAACCCAACTATTTCATGTTTCAGTGTCTGAGCACCAGAAAGATGGAATTGGAGCAAACTGACACTGACATGTAGAGGAATAAGGTGCTGGGAAGCGGGCATGATCCGGCCATCAACTACATTCCTGCTCCAGCTCTGAGCTACTCTGAAAGAGAAACACATTCAGGGGATGGAATGCGAGTTAAAAAAACCTGGTGTGGAGGGAAAAGCAAGCTGAGCGCTGACCTATTAAAGTGTCATGCAAAGGAACTTTAACATGGAACAACTTTATTTACTTTCAGAGGCAGCCAAAAAGGATGCCCATCCCCGCAACTGATTTTGTGTGTCTACCATGACACCCACCACCTGGGTGAAGGTGAAAGGAGAACATCCATGCACCAATGGAACAAAGTAGTGGAAGAATGAAAAAAACATCTGAAGAAAACAGCTCAGCCAAACCTCAAAAATAAGTCAGATGTGCTCCTCACGCATGCTTAGCTCATTATGATCACAGCTACAAGAATTGATAGTAAGCAAATTACTACAGAAGTTGCACTTAAAAAAAAACTGAATATTTTTGCAAGCAGAGTGTAAAAATAACAGCTCCTCCTGGAGAATTTCCAGCGCCTCCATTAGTCTGCTACAGAATTAGAAAGCAGATTCCTCCTACATATGCATTCCTCTGCCTCTCCCTATTTGAAACCGTGTATGTACAGCTTTGTTTGCGTTCTTTGCTATTAAGCAGGGGACCAACTTAAATCTGACAACTGTCTCTCCTTCCCTTCATACCTGGCAAGTGTTTTACTCATTTACACACAAAAAAAGTCAGAAAATAATTACTACAATAAAAGCAAGAAAATGATACGTTTCCAACCAAAACCACAGATCTAAAGACCCAACACTGGGGACGATTGGATCCGAAATGTGCTACTTGGGTCCCTTTAATAATAAACAAATTCAAATACCAATGACTTAAATATTTCAAAGCTTACTCAGGCTAAAACGGTGACAGACAGGCTTTAAGAATATGATTAAGTCCATAACTTATCAGGTATAAAATCAGGATAAACAAGGGAAGCTGGATGCAAGATTCAGTTATTCAGTTAATATGCAGTGGTTTTGCTATGCAATTTGTTTAACAGTTCCATATACCTGTTGTTGTGGACAGTGGGTTTCTGCTGGACTGAATGCTATTTGGGTCTGAATTCAGTGTTGTATGCCAGTCTGAAGCACCAATTGAGAGGTCTGATGAGGGATATGTCCCAAAGAAGTTTGGTGGCAGGTTTGACTGCAACAACACAACTTATTGCAATGCTTTTTCCTACCCACCAGACTTTCAGCAAGGCCTTTTGCCTGCCCTAATCTTCTCCGTTGGCATTAAAAGGGGAGCAATAAGAAATTTGGCTTAGGACAAGCAAAGCCATTTACAGTTAAATCTCTTCGGTGCAAAAGTTGAAAGTATTGCACAAGCAGCCTTCTGTTTACAATGGGTTCTGTGAACGACTGGGTCAGATGATGACCAGCAAAGATGTGCAGTATCTAGGGGCTCCATTCAACTGAAAGAAATAACAGTCCCAGTAAAGCTCAAACTTGAAACTATAGCCTCAAACACAGTCTCCTTTTCAATAACAAGTCAGAACCACTAATGTGATTCTCAGAACCCTGGCAAAGTCTAAAAGAGCTTCCCATCCATCCCATAATCCCCCTACATGCAACACCCAGGAATTTGGGGGGCAAAAAATTATTCAAGTTATTTTAAAAAATTCAAATGCATTTTTGTTTGACATTCACGTAAACATCTCCCTATGGGGTTTGTCAAATTTTGCTACATTGTGCTAGCGCATGAGAACTAGACACATCTCTTCACATGGTCCAAGCTAAGCAAAATACAACAAACAGCATTAGCGGTGAAGGCGTTGATTTGCTTTAAGGGAGTTTGTTTTAATTAATGCCACAGGTAAAGCATTTTAATGTATTATTTTTAGTAAGCCAGCCTCAGGAAAATAACTTCTATTCACACACACACACACACACAGACAAACTGAAAGATAATCTTATTACCACATTAAACAGGGAGGTAGATGTTTAGAGAAGCAGGAAGCCATCAGTGATTTAGATTTCTCAGTAGCTGAAGACACAAAGCTTCTGTGTTCCACCCTTACATATCAAATACCAGCAATTTAGAGCGCTCAGGGTCAACTGGTTTGAGCCTTGTGCGTGGGGAGGGGCACTGAAGGGGAGACAGGAGAGGGAACTAGAACTCTGATCATCGCTGGTTTTATTTCAATAGGGGAAACCCTTGAGAAATGCAAAGTTTACACAGCAGAGGACAATAAACCAGCTCTCACATTAACAGAGTACTGTACTCCTCATTTTGATGACACCATGCAGAGATACCCACTGAGCCAGATCTATCTGGGGACAGGCAGAGACCACCCACCTGTCTCCCTGATTCTGTTGATTTCCCCCCGGGAAGAGGGATTACACGTGAAAATAAACAGAGCAGATACAAGCACCCAGTGTGTTGGTGCTGGTGCAGAGGCGGCAGCAGGGGTGTGAGACACCAGCTGCTCCAACAAATCAACCACAACAAAGCTGCACAGCTCCGGGCCTACAAAGCGGGGGGGGGGGGGGGGGGGGGGGGAGAGAGAGAGAGCCCTCCCTGCATCCCGGAGACAGCTGGCTCCTGCAGCCCCTGCAAAGTGGGGCTGCTGCACAAGCAGCCTCCCCCCACGCCCCCCAAATTAGCCCGGCAGACAGAGCGCCGGGCCTGCCCCAGCCCACCCTAGCCGTGCGCTCACACAAAAGGGCCAGCAAATCGCTCGCTCGGACACCTGAGCGTGAGGGCCACGGGCACAGGCGGCGCACGGTGCATCGCCCCGGGAGCGGCCGGCCGGCTCGCCAGCACGCCCAGCGGGAGGGAGGGCCAGACGGACGGACACAGCCCCCCGCTCCGCTCCACATGCAGCCCGGCGACATGACTGCAGGAGGAAGGTGCAGCCCAGGCTCCTCCTGCTGGTGCTGCGAGCGCGCCCCACTTACCGAGCGCCGGCCGGGCTCCCTCGCCTCTCCCCCGGGCAGCGCACCCGCCGCGGCAGGAAGTTCCCAGCCTGTGCATTGTCCGCGCTCTTCCCCCCGCGCCGAGCACCCGGGGCCTCGGCCTCTCGCCCGCCCCTCCCCACACTACAGCCGGGGGCAGGGCCGCCGTGCAAGTGACAGGCTGGAGAGCCAGTGACGCGCGGCTAAGGAGGGGCCAGCCGAGCCGGCTCAGCTCTTCCTCCCCGCTCCGACTTCCCTCCCCGATCCCCCCGGGGACGGGGCTGCCGCGGAGTGAGCTCCCCGGGAGCTGGATCGGCAAGCCCCGGAGTTCGGTGGCAGGGAGGTGGGGAAGGGATCTGGTGGAAAAGAAAGGTACCCGGCTAGAGGCACCTTGCTCAGAGTGATGGGGCTAAATGCCAATGAATAAAATCTAGATATTTCTCTCTCCTGCCACGTGAATTAGTTGCCCTAGGCGAGTGTTTCTGCGGACTCCTTTTAAAGCCCAGCAGAGAGTGTGGTGTTCGGTGTCGGGTGATTCAAAGCAGCGATATACAACGGTGTGTTTGCCTACTGCCCCACCACCAGGATCTAGGGGGAGAACCTAGGTGTCCTTACTCCAGCTGCCCCTGATCTAAAGTGCTTTTCATTCCAAAAGACCTCAAAGTGCTTCATAAGCTGCAGACACAGAGCACCACTGAAATACTGCCACTGCTGGGGTGGAATGCGAGTACAACAGCTGTGGGGCTAGAGGGAGAGTTTGATCAAAAGAGGATATGGGGTCCACTAGTGCTTAGTTCAGGGAAAACTGGAGTTGGGACACCTAGATTCTGTTCTTGACTCTGTCACGACCACAAGGGATTATGGTGTGACTTTAGGCAAATCATGTAACCTCAATTTGCCAGAGTATCTACCTCACATGATTGTGGTACGGTTCAATTAATTAATGTTTGTAATGTGGCTTGAATTCCTTGGATGAAACGGGCTGTATATAAATGCAAAATATTATTAGTTATTTTTAATGCAAAAGCAAACCTGCCTCTTACAAATCTGCCTCTGGGTATCTTTAATGTCCAAAGCCCCAATTCTGCAAACACTTAACACACACATGCTTTACTATTGATTTACTCACAGTAGTAAAGTTAAGCATGTACATAAGTGTTTGTAGGATCATGGCCCACAACTATATGCTCTTTAGTGTAGGGGGTCATGCCTTCAAATACAAAACCTAGCACAATGGGGCCTTGATCTTGACTGATGCCACCAGCAGCCAAGCTCCCCCTACCCCCTCCTCGCCTCCTCCTCCTCCCCCCAGCTGTTTGGCAGCACTTAGGACTTTCCAGGAGGGAACAGGAGGAGGCGGAGCAGAGGCAGGGCGGGGCGGGGACTTGGGGGAAAGGGGTGGAATGGGAGTGGGACAAGGGCGATGCAGGGGCGGGGCCACAGGGTGGGCGAGCACCCACCGGGCACAGGGGAAGTCAGAACCTATGCTCTCAGCTTTCATTTAAAAGAAAAAGAAGCAAAATAGGTTGTTTCTAGCTCTTATAGTTGCAAAGCAACACTTGAAAATATGAATCCTAAAGGTTCAAAAACCATAAAGCAAACAAAAAGAACTCAAATCATATTAATTTTAAAAATATCATTATTTTGGGGGACCTGACTCATGAGTTTGAACAGGTGAGGTTGGCAACATTATTGCCATCTGACAGCTCTTCAGGGATGTATGTGCAATGAGTTAGTGAGTCTAAAACCAGTTCTTTGTGGACAAGTGACACATCACAATTAGAATGAGTTGTCTTCCTTGTTGATAGTCTCAGTAAACAGGTCAAATATTGATAGTTCCAGGGATACTGAACTCCGCTCCCAACCCTAGAAGTGGTCCTTTCAAGTCATGACTGAGGCACATTGTCAGGGCAGGGTGTGAGAATTTTGAATGGCTGTTACCTGTCCTGTATAGATATTGTGGCTACATAGGAATGAAGCTCTCTGTTTATCCACAAAATCTATACAGCACAGGCAGTGGCTGTACAACTTCTTACATACTGTTGTTGTCCACTCCACCAGCCAAGGCCCAAATGTGAACATAACACATGACAAAGACTCAGAATGAAGGACACAGCAAATTATTTTTGCAAGAAATGTAAAATACAGTGAAACACCTTCCCTCGGTGTAAATAATGCTTTCATAACTTCAGTGTCATGATTCTCTATTTCTGAAGTAAATAATTTTCAACAACAAAAATCAAATTTTATATGGAACATAGGTAGCTTTAGGAGACCGAAGTGAGGGACATTTGAGAGGCATGTCACAATCCACAATAGTCATTCTTTGGAGAGGACGGATGGTCCAGTGGTTAGGGTGTAACCTGGGCAGATCTGAATTCAATTCCCTGCCCTGCCACAGACTTCCCATGTGACCTTTGGCAAGTCATTTGGTCTCTGTGCCTCAATTTCCCATTTGTAAAATGGGATTTTCCTATTTCCCTTCCTCACAAAAGTGTTGACAGTGGCCTTGTCTTCACTGCTGGAAAGAGGGATTTTTTTTTGTCTCCATAATTAATGTGTGTGGTAAAAACACAGTGGAGGTCACAAAATGTATTCGGTAAGGCAGTGGTATGGTGCTGATGTTGACTAGTTTACCTTGTGGTAAAACTAATATGCCTTGTCTTCACTGGGTTTTCACCTCGGAATAGTTCATGTGCATTAGTTACCCTGAGATAAAAACATACCTTTTGTTATCAGTTAAGTCAAGACCTGAGAGATGCTCAGATACTATGGCGATGGGAGCCATATAAGTACCTGAAATAAATGTGAGATACAATTAAATCAACATAAATACAAAAATAAAATACACGTTAATGGGGCTAAAATCACTCATGAACCCCAACTAAAAATGTACAAAAATGCAGCCTGTTTCTTAGCTTTTAATGAATAAATGTAAATAGTAATGAGGGGGTTGTTTTGCATAGCTAGTCACATTAGTGGGAAAGATTGTATTGTTATGTTCTCATTTAAAGTAGGATATACGACTCAGAACTAAGAAAGATTTGAATAAATGATTTGAAATCATACTATTTTCCATTAACCATGCCTATTTTACCTGCCTCCGCCTATTACTGTTTTAAGATAATCATTTGCTTCATAACCATAGTTGCCATTATGTTCAGTAGATTAACTGTTTATAATTTAGTGTTTTCCTGCTGAAGCAGAATTACAGCTCAAATTCCCGGGTTAGTAATCTTAAAGCAGTTCGGTGCTTAGTTCTGCCCAGCTGAACATCACTTCTCCTCCTCCTTTGGTTCTACAATCATGTTGGTTTTATGATTCCAGGACCTTCATTTTCATAGAGTACAGTAGTTTGTGCCAATACTCCAGAATCACAAACTAGCTAGGGAACAAGTCAGCAAGATAGAGGGACAAGAGAAAATTGTTCTTGATTAGCTTTGGAAGGACACCTAGTGGTTTTAGTTGGGTAACACCAAAGGAACCTGATCGAATCAAAGCATTTACAGATCATTTTGCTGTGTGGTTGTTTGTAGGCTTAGTTCCATTGTGCTCCAGCTGGCTTTGATGTTTGTGCTCAAGAATAGAGATTTCAAAACCTGCTGGCAAGTTCCCCAGACTATCCAAAATATTTACCAAGCTGCTGACTTCTCATTGCTATTGTATTTTATGTCTTCATCATTTGTTATGTGTTGCCATACCAGGCTCTGAGTCCCTTTGCAGTGAGGGAGCCCTTTATAAATAAAATGTGTTATTATTAACCCTTAAGTATCAAAACAAAACACCCGTTCTCAACCAATAATACATCCCTGATTGATTTTTCCAGGTTCAAATCATTCAGTTCCACTTACCAGACCTGTAAAATGCTCCAGCCACTTCCTTAGAGCTTTTTAGTCATTAAAAGAAATGCTCTGTCATATTTTCCCTGGGAAAAAAATGACGTGGAGGATGTTACAAGGACACAAGCTGTCACAGCCAACTTAGTCCTGGCAGGTTTTTCACAAAAGCGAAGATCAAAAGTAATCTTTATTTGATTGTTTTGAGCCAATCGAGAGTGCAGTTTTACAAATACAAACTCCTTCACAGTGTTCATCAATCCAGAATATCACAGCACCAAGACATGAAACAGACTTCCATGATTTTTCCTGTCAAAGCCGAGAGAAAAAGTAAAGAGATGCACAAATGATGAAAATATTCTAGCTGGAGGAGTCCTTAGATTCTTTCCATTTTAATAATCTGCTCTGTTATTAGTAACGTAGGAAGGAAATGTTTATTTACAATAAATCATTTTAAAGCGAATGTTGTTCATTTGCAAAAAAACAAGCCAATCTATTATGGACAAGTACAGATCATGGTTGGACGATGTTACTGACAGGTCATTTGCCATCAGCTTTTTGACTAAGTCTTTTTTCCAAATTATAAAGATTTATGTTCATTATGGTAACTTTAAGGCTATTTTATTTGCATTACTCTCATTTGTTGTAAACCCATCTAATCATTCTAATTTCCACAGGAGTAATCAAAGGTGCGTAGAGGCAGCGGGGACAAGGAGGGGGAGTGTGGGAAAGATCTGGGGGATGCAACGGAGGCAGTAAGCAAGTAAATGAGTCAGTGTGTGGACAGAGGGTGTCTGAGAGCTGCTGAAACTTCATAGACGAGCTGAAGGCTGGGTACAGACATGAGCAGCATAAACCAGAAATTTGCACACAAGGATGGGAAATAAAATATTAAAATGGCTCAATGCAGTCACAAGAAAGAGACCCTCCTGGAGATGCAACTTGCCATCCACTTTGCTCAGCAGTAAAATGGGCCATCTCACGAAATAGTAGGCAATAGATAGCAGAGATTCCTAAAGGCTTCAAGTATCAGAGGGGTAGCCGTGTTAGTCTGGATCTGTAAAAAGCGAGAGATAATGAAGTTAGTTCAATCAGGGAGGATGAGGCCCTCTTCTAGCAGTTTGACAAATTTGACACCATCAGCTCAGGATTAAACAAAGACTGTGAATGGCTAGCCAACTACAAAAGCTTAGTAATCTTTCTCCTCCCTTGGTGTTCACACCTCAACTGC